ATTTTTTTAAAAAATCGTTTGAAAAAGCCGTAGCGATAAGCTTACTAGCATCAGCAATGAATTGTTGGTTTCTCCGGCAAATTTGAAGTAAGGACGTTTTGTATTTATTGATTTTGCAGGGAGCACGACGAAAAGGATATGCAACATGCAACTCTCTCCATGATTACTTCCTTCGTCTGTGCAGGGTACGTACCTGTTGATGGCTTTTTTGAAATAAGAAGGAAACTGTATTCGCGATTTGGCAAAGCTTGTTCTGGATTTTTCAGGAGCGAGAGTATTATAAGAGACAGAAAATCGACCCTCAGTTTGAGTTCACTGAACTGCCACTGAACGAATCGGACACCAAACATCAAAAAAGATTCAGGCAAGTGACCTAAAAATAACCCCATCTTTTAAGGAACGATAATCGCTAGGATTTTGAGCCGCAAGTTTTCGGTATGATATTGAAATGCGCACATAATTAGGGCCGTGGATTTTGTTGTAATTTTAATTTTAGATGATGTGTGTTTATGTAAAAAATAAGGGTATGAAAGTAAGGGAATAAAAAGGAACGTGAATAAGTTAAGTCTGAATAAAAACGTGAATAGGAATGTTGTGGCTTGCCAATAATTGAATTTACTTCCAGATGCACATTGGTTCTGCCATATCTTGGGAAAATTTTCACGCACGAAGGCTATGGGAAATCGCCAAGTAAAAATGCGGTGATCCGAGAGGTACTTTTTTCTTTTTAATTTTTGTAGCAAACAGTTTTTTCTACTCCAGTCATGAGTTTTTCATTTTACAACAGTAATTAAATGTAGGGATTCAAAATGAAATGTAAAAAATCTCTTCTTTCTTTAGAAATTTGAAATATAAGATTTTTCGAAAAAAAAATTCAGAAAAAAAGTTGAAAAAAAAGGAATTCGTGATAATGAATTTGAGACGAAATTCAGATATAAAATTTTTCAAAAAAAGAAATTCAGAAAAAAAAATTTGAAAAAAAAGGAATTCATGATACTGAATTTGAGCAGATTTACGTTTGAGCAAATATTTCTGGAAAACAAGAATGTGGTAACAAATAAAATCGCATGCCAGTGCTAGTTTAGCGTCTTTCTTATCGTGTTTTATAAGAAAAACGCTTGAGAAATGTGTTGAAAGAAGTTAAAACTTTTTTTTTTTTGTTTGAAAAAACCAAAACTCACATTTCTTGTTTCAGTATGCTCCAGGAGGAACCATCTTATATATTACGGGCCTCACACAGGGCTTTGTTTTTGATCATAAAATACTGTTTTTAGTTGTTTAATGCTTAATTTAGGCTTTGGTTAAAGTTTTCAACGTGCCGGCGCATCAGCTACGAATGGTGGAACGTCGTGCCATGAATCTTAAGCCAGGCAAACCAATGCAGGTATGATTTTGTGCCCCGGTGCAGCGATCAGCAAATTTTGCCCTGTACAGTTATAATATTATTATCCCACAACTGCACAAAAAAGCGAATCGACGGTCTTCCAGAGAAAAAAGAGCCCATTGTGTTTGAAAAATTTTTTTTGTCGGAAAAAAAGGAGTGAATTTTAAAAAATCGTGCTTTACTGCACGCTTCTGGGGGTTGAATTTCGTTGCTTTTAGTGCTGATGCAGTTGTGAAATATAAAACTTATTTTTAATATTTGACGAGAATACCCACAATTTGGCTTTGTAATGGACGGGCAGAAGATAAATGGAATTTTGAAGGATAATCCAAAGGATAGCGTAGAAAAAAAATAGCCAAGTGGAAGATAAGCCTTTTTTTTGGAAAAAAGCGGAAAATTAACCAATTTTCGCAGGATTCTTTGAGCCTTTCGGACAGCTCGAGGCATTTTGCGGGAATTGACTGGATTTACGTGGAAATTTACATGGAAACGTGAGAAAAACGTGGCCAGCACAGAGTTAAGGATTTGATTGGACCAGTAGATTGGCTAAATCAGAAAAAAAGAAAGTTGTTATAAGGAAAGGAGCCAAAGTATTCGCTTTTTTTGAAAATGTTGTGAGGTGGTAATATGTTGCTTGAGGTTTTGATCC